TGTCCCCTGTCCCAAATCCCTCAGGACAGGGAGTGGATTCCACGCTCTGGATTTGGGAATGCTGAGAGCCACAGGATTGTGTCGGCTTTCCCGACAAAACGTTCCAAGAATGGAATGGATTCAACCATGGAATGTTCTCCTGGGAAATCCCAAACTGGGCTGGGGCTCTGATGAGGAATGACCTMATTCCGGAATACAGAGTGGWTTCCACATGRATTCCCRATCCCTCTGTATCTGGGAATTGTGGGATCCAGGAGCRTGTCCGAGCTGGTGCCACCTCCCCCAGGGCGGTGTCCCCTGTCCCCAGATCCCTCAGGGAGTGGATTCCACCCTCTGGATTTGGGAATGGTGCAGAACCAGGGTGGAGATCCGAGGAGGAACGGCCTCGTTCCGGGATAGGGAGTGGATTCCACCCTTTGGATTTGGGAATTGTGGGATCCAGGAGCGGGTCCGAGCTGCTGCCACCTCCCCCAAGATGGTGTCCTATGTCCCCAAATCCCTCAGGACAGGGAGTGGATTCCAAATTTTGAAATGGGAATGATGAGGAATCGGGGTGGGGATCCGAGGAGGAACGGCTGCGTTCCGGGACAGGGAGCAGATTCCACATGGATTCCCAATCCCTCAGGATTTGGGAATGCTGACTACCCTGTCTCTCCCAGCAAAATGTTCCGGGAATGGGTTGGATTCAACCATGGAATGTTCTCCTGGGAAATCCCAAACTGGGCTGGGGATCCGAGGAGTAACGGTCTCATTCCAGGACAAGGCTTGGTTTCCACCCTCTGGATTTGGGAACTGTGGGATCCAGGAGCGGGTCCGAGCTGCTGCCACTTCCCCCAGGGCAAAAACCCAAAAAAGAAAACCAAAAAGAAACAAACAAAAAAAACCTACAAAAAACCAAACAAATCCCCCCCAAAAAACCCAAAAAACCCATCCAAACAACAAAAAAAACCCGAAAGAACCTCAAAAAAGCCACCCCAAAAAAGCAGCACATCCCAGAATCTGAGGGAAACCTGGGACAGCATGAAAGGGGCACCTGAATGAAAATCAGCTGCATTTTTTGGGGTTTTATTGTTGTTTTTTTTGGTTTGTTTTGTTTTTTGTTTTGTTTTTTATTTTGTTTTTTGCCTCTGTGCTGCTGAAGGTTTTTAACCGAATTTTTCATTCTCTTTTCCCCCTCATTCCCCTCCTGACCCTGGCAGATGTGGGAGAAGGCCATCGAGCTGAGCAAGGAGCTGGCGCACATGTACGAGAACCACGCCTTCGACTACGAGGGCCTGGGGCAGCTCCTGGTGAGGAA